CCCCCCCCCTTTCCCAGCCTCAAGCCTGGCCTGGCTGGGGAGAGATGAGAGGCCTCAGGGTCACCCCAGCTCCCGTTCGCGTGTTTGTTTCACTGGCTGAAGCAGTGGAGGGATTTACGGGGCTTCCCTGGTTCCTCCCGTCTGCCCCCGAGAGGCATCGGTGATTTCTTCACGTGCCACACGTGCCAGCTCCCTGCTGTGTCGCTGCCGCCCTCTTTGGGACGGCCCTGAGGCGCGTGGGCGCCTGTGTGGGCCCGGCAGGTGCTCTCCGCCCCCCGCGGAAGCCCAGGGAGGATGGGGCCTCCCCTGAGTGACACGTGTCAGAGTCGAATCCTAGGCTGACCCCCGAGCCCTCCCGCCTGCCCCAGGACCCTTCCTCCCGTGGCTCAGAGGAGTCACGCGTGTTGCCCAAGGACCCCCCCCCAGGTCCCTTCCTCAGGCCCCCGACAGGTGCCCACGGTTGACCTCCTCTCTGAGGGCAGGGGCCCTGGGCCTGGCTGTCAGGTCTTAGTGGCCCCTCAGCCAGGCAGGGAGGGCCAGACACGTCTTGCCCCTGACACGTCTCGGCCAGTGTGGCCGTGGCCCACGTCAGCCCCTGAGGCCCCAGACGGAGGTCTCTCTGGGGCTCGGGCTTGCTGGAGCCCAGCTTATCCTGAGGGGGCCACCCCTCAGTCGGACTCCTCTCTTCCAGGGCTGGACCTGCTGCCCCTCTGCGTGACATTCCTGCTCTGCTTCTGGGAGGTCCAGTACGGCATCCTGGCCGGGACCCTGGTGTCCGCTCTGATCCTCCTGCACTCTGTGGCCAGACCCAAGATGCAGGTACCGGCTCATCTGATCTCCCCGAGCCAGGGGTCTGCTGGCCTCAGGGGGCCTGGTGGGGTGACGCGTGCCCTGGGCGGCACCCCTTGGCTCAACTGTCGCACGCCTCGGTGCGACTCTGGCCCGTGGCACCACCCAGTGACCGTTCACACAGTGGACGGGTGTCAGCCTCCTGCCGTGGACCACAGAGCTCTCCTGCTGCACGTGAGGCTGCGGGTAGGCGTGAGGGCCCGTCAGCTGTGCTCCCCCCGCTCTGTTCTGTCGGCCTGGGTTGGGGCCTCCTGCTGGAGGGGCCACCCTCTCGGAACTGCCAGGTCGGACTTGCCTCTAGGACCCACCGGCTGTCCCCTGCTCTGTCCCCAGGTGTCAGAGGGGCCGGTGCTGGTCCTGCAGCCGGCCAGCGGTCTGCACTTCCCGGCCATCGAGTCCCTCCGGGAGGCGATACTGAGTCGGACCCTGGAAGGTGCGTGGGCTGGGGCCCCCCAACTCTCTGCCACCTTCTCTGTACCCCCGTCTGCTCCCGCGGGACCCTGAGTCCCTGTCCTCAGCCGCCAGGGAGCTCACCCACTCAGGCCCAGGAGGTCTCGGGGTGTCTCGGGGGCATCCGGTGGGTGCCTGCCGTCTGCACACAGCAGGAGGGGCTGTTCCCCAACGTTTGTTCCTAAAGACCGTCCTTTGTTCCCGGGAGTTGGTGTTCGGGGAAGAAGAGGGGCCCGTTCCTCCTCTGAAGGGGGTCGCTGCTGCTGTCTCCAGACGGCTGTGATCACAGGTCCTGCAGACCCCACCCCCACCCTCCCTGCTGGGGCCGGAGCCCTCTGTGGCCTCGCTCTGGCCCTTGACCCGCCGGCCCCTGTCTCCACAGCGTCCCCCCCGCGCTGCATGGTGCTGGACTGTACCCACGTCTGCAGCATTGACTACACCGTGGTGCTGGGGCTCGGGGACCTCCTGGGAGACTTCCACAGGCACGGCGTCACCCTTGCCTTCGTCGGCCTGCAGGTGGGTGTCGCGACGGGCGGCCCTTTTCGCCCTCAGACCTGCCCGTGAGGTCAGCGTTGTTCCCGTCCCCACGTGAGGCCCCACGAGTCTGAGTAAGCCGCCCAAAGTCACACAGCGAGGACGGTGGCCCCTGCTCCCTGACCCGGGCACCTGGCTCCGAAGCCTGCTGACAACAGTCACGTTCCTCGTCCTGTCTGCAGAGAGCTCGTTTTTGTGTCCTCCTTAGAGCGTCGACTTCTAAATACTCCTCTTCTAGCGTAGCCAGGAGGCCCGGTTTCTTCCCTCCGTTTCCCTGAGTAGAGGTGGAGTTGTAACTACTTGGACGCTCTGGGGGAAGCAGTGACCTGGCCGGTGGCCCTGGACCTGCGGGCCCGCCCCAGACCTCGCGTGCCCACGTGTTGAGACAGGAGCATCCCTGCCCGGGATTAAAGTCTGCCTGCCCTGCAGGTTCCCGTTGTCCGTGCCCTGCTGTCCGCTGACCTGAAGGGTATACAATACTTCTCCACGCTGGAAGAGGCAGGTGGGTACGGCGGGGTCATCTGAGAGCGAGCCGCGTCAGCCGCGTGTGCCTGTGGCCCCCAGGATCGGGGTGGCAGGACGGCAAGACAGAAACTCTGGAATCGGAGGGTCGGATGCACGGGTCCGGGAGTGGGGAGCGTGGGCACAGTGGGTGAGGCAGAGGCCACGGAATCGGGGGGCCCTCTTGTTCTGGGGGTTTATTTGGGGGGATGTCTTTATTTAAGGTACAGCATAGGTTCAGTGAACGCACAGATCTTAAGTGTGCAACTCGAGTTCTGACAGGCGGGTACAGCCAGGTGTCCGCAGTGGAGATGGAACATTTCCATCATTCCAGAAGGTTTCCTCAGCCCCCTTCATGACCCCCCGCCAGGGTTAGCCGCTGTTCTGATTTCTTCCACCGTAGGTCAGCTTTGCCTGTTGCAGAACTTGACGTAAAGGGGACCGCAAAGGTTCTTTTCGTGTCCGATTTCTTCGGCTCAGCGTGGTGTCTGAGATCCAGCCACGTTGTTGCTGGAAACGGCCGACCCACAGGAGACAGAGGGACAGCTGTGGCCCGGCCCTGCCAGGGGACCGCCCGGCACTGAGGAAGGGTTATCGGGGCGTGGAAAGCAATGAGGCTCTGATCAGGGACGTAGCTGGAAGCCTGCCTGGGGTTGGGGGTGCCGGCCGGGGGGACCCCAGCTCCCTGTGCACCAGGACCCTGAAGTGCCAGCCTCGAATCCCGTTCTATGAACTGAACCTTCCCCACTTCAGCTTTTTTAGTGCTTGCGAACCTTGTGTCTTCTGCAGAGAAATACTTGAGTCAGGAACCGGGGACCCAGCCCTACAACATCAGCGAGGATTCTGTTCCGGAACACAAGGTCGCCCTGTTGAAGGCCTGATTGGGGCACCGACGGGCACCTGATGCTCGGGGCATCTCGAGGAAGGTTCCTGATGCCGGGATTCCGGATGCCACCCGATAAACACGCTGAGCTGAGGGCTCTGAGCAGGTGACCCTGGAAGGAGGAGGGAAAACCACACACCAGGATCCACAGGTGGGACTCTCACTGCCTTTATTTGGGGTGACTGAATATTTATCTCCCTTCTGATTCCTGGGCACGCACGTTTTTCTGAAGAGTGGTTTAAAGACAGCCTTCTAGAATGACGGACCATGTGAGAAAGAAGGGACGGATTTCCACCCGGTCCAGGGGAGGGGTCTCCACGCCCCAGCACCTTCCTGGTTACAGGGGACGTTGGGAGTGGGCAGCTCGGAGGTGGGTTCGAGCCTTGGTGGCGGCATCCGTATTTGTCGTCGGGGAGAAAGCCAAGGTGTGCCAAATGATTTCAAAGTGTCTTGCTAAAAATAATTTTGTTGTTGTTGTTGTTTTAAATTAAAAACGTAGCAGCTTTGGTGTTTTTGTAAAAATCGGAAACGCTTCTTGTAAAAGCTGCAGGAGACGGTCTCCTGCATCCACTTTGGCGGTAGTGCAGACCCCATCTCCGCGGCGTGCGTACGGGTCCGTACGTCAGCATGTGGGTGCGTGCGTTTACGGTCGTGCGCGGACGGGGTCCTTTCATACGTGGTGCTCTGTGACCCGTACCTTTGTGCAGTCTTTGCTGTGAATGACGCGTTGTGGTAATAAACAGAACCGTGATTTGCCGTGGCTCTGTCGTATTTTATTCTGTGTATGTGTCACAACGGACTCCCGAGCCTCTACACGTGGCCTCTGCCTGTCCCGCCCGTGCACGCACCTTTCCACCCCCGCTGTCACGGCCGAGGAAGCCTGTGCTCCCGGAACTTCTTAGAGAAAGGACTCACTGTGCAGACAGACCCCCTGGAGCTCACCGGTGGTCCCACCAAGACACATTCTGGCCCAGCGGCCTGGGCCCCGGTCTCGCGATGTTTCTCCCTCCAGGCCCCGAGCGCACCCCGTCCCTGAATCTGCGTTTCCTTTCCTCGAGGAGCCTCTCCATCTGCACAGATGAGCGTGTCCTCGAGCCCTGTCTGCCTGGCCGCCGCTGCCCAGGGCCCTGGGGGACGGCCGTCCAGTTGTCCCCAGCCCACACACCAAGCACACCCCTTCTTGAACCAGGAGACTGGCCACCCGTCTGCTCTGGCGGGCCCTACCCGCCTGTGAGCCTGGAGGACGGCTTCCCAGAATCCTCTTCCGGGGCGCAGATGCGGGGATGGGCATCGCAGCCCGGTTGGCAGTTGTAGAGAATGAAGGCCAGCTAAGCGTCTCCGTTTGGGAACGTCGTGACCGCGAAGCACATGAGCTGCAGGGCTGTGTGGCTGAGGGACGAGGCACCCCTGCGCCCCTGCACACGGGTGTTGTTGAAGGGAGAGTTGCAGAACGACCTTCATCTCAAGAGACCATTTGCGGGGGCGCCTGGGGGGCTTGGTCGCTTGAGCATCTGACTCTCGATCTCAGCTCAGGTCACGATGTCCGGGTTCGTGAGTTCGAGCCCCGTGTCGGGCTCTGTGCTGTCAGTGTGGATCCTGCTCGGGACTCTCTCTCTCCCTCTCTCCCTGCCCCTCCCTGCCTCGTGTGTGTGCACGCACACATGTGGTCTTCTCTGCCTGTTAAGATCGAAAAACTTAAGTTAAACGATGGTATTTTAATTTTATATCAACATAGCACGTAACAGAATGAAGTTACAAATTTACTGAGTTTAAAATTCCTAACTTATTTACGAGCTTATTAAATTTATAATTGATTTCTAATTAGAGCTTACGTTAAATAAAAGAGAAAGGACTGGTCTGGTCAACTGCACGGAAAGAGTTGGGAATTTGGTGCCAGAAGTTGCGGGGCCGGGCCCCACCATCCCTCGCCAGCAGGTAAGCCCCCTCGGGGCCTTGGCCTGCGCGCCGGGGCCCATGGGACTGTGTCCACGACAGCACTGGCTGGAGTGCTGCCTTTGGCAGGCTGACAAGGTCACGGCGCCACCAACACCGTGGCGGTTAGGCACGGGACCTAACTGTGGATTGGATTAGTGGATTGGTGGATTGGACCTAACCGTGGATTAGGTGGATTGGCAGCACGGGACTCCCGGTGCCCCAAGCGCGCGACTTTATTGGGAAAGAGGATCATTACGGGTGTAATGAGCTGAGACGAGTCCATACTTACTGGATCAGGATGGGCCCTCACCCGTTCGCTCAGTGCTTAGGAAAAGAGCTTGGGTGCGGACGCGCCCCTAGGGAGAAGCAGCCGGCAGAAGTCGGGTGATGCTTCTATAAGCGGAGGAACAGCACAGACGGTCAGCTTGCCGCAGGGAACGCATTTCGCCTCCGCCTCGGAAGGAAGCAGGCCTGCTGGCCCCCGGATCCTGGACTTGGGGGGCTCCGCCTGGGCCATGCTGCTTTGTTACAGCCGCCCTGACCGAGCAGCGAGATCTTCAGTGCTGGCTCCTACAAGTCTTGGGGGGGGCCCCCGCCCCCCCTTCCTGGCTGGCCAGAGGGCCCCTCCGTGCCACTCTGTGCCACCCAGCCATGGGTGCCCCGGGAAGCCACAACCTGAGAATGGCAGAGAGCGGGTCACCTGCGGAGCACACGCCCACCGGTGCCGCCCGCCTGTCACAGCAGCTCGGAGCCTTGGAGACGCAGGACCGCACCGTCGAGGGAAGCACAACCTGTGCCACAGACGTGAGCCACGCGTGCCGTTTTAACACTGCCAGTGGCCCTGACGAACGAGGAAAAGGTAACGGGTGAAGTTAACGTATGATCATCCGAAATGCTACCCTTTCCACCTGTGATCTACACGCGACTCACCGACGAGACTCTTGACGTGAGTTTTCTCGTACGAGATCCTCGAGGCCCAACGCGGGTTGTACGCTCACGGCACGACCCCGTTCAGACGAGCCACGCCTTGAGCTTTGTGCCCCGTGTGTCGTGTGGCTGCCGTGTCAGAGAACCCAGGTTTGAGACATCCTTGTCCCAGGCGGTCAGGAGGCCCCCGCTGTCCCGAGCTCATAGCTCATGTGTTTGCCTCCACCCCCGGAGGTCGTTGGAAGAAACCGAAACAGTGGCAACGGAGGAGGCGGCGTGGCGTGGCCGGCTTGCAGAGAGCTGTTCTGAGGTCAGGTCCCGATTTCTCGCCGCGTGACGTTGGGGAAAATTGTCTGAAGTCTGCGAGACGTCATTTCCACGCCCCCCACAGGACTGCTGCAGGGATTTAATTGAAGAGCAGGGTGAAGGCCTGGCGTGCGTCACGCACGCGAGTAGCCGCTGCTGCTCAGGACCGGACCTCCTGGTGTTATTTCGTGTCCTGTTCTCCCCTCCCCACCACAAACCGAACGCCTTCCTTGATAAGCACGTCTGAGGGGCAGTCCCCGACAGGAGGCACAGGAGACAGTTTGCGGCAGGACTCTGGCTGGGGGTGGGGGGGGAGGGCGGAGGGGAGGGCGGGAGGGAATCGTGTGGGCCCAAGGCTCCGGCCCCGGGGGAAGTGAGTCGGGGCCGGGTCCCCTGTGTCTGCTGCCTCAGGCCTCCTCTGTGGTCTGAAGCCACCGTGGAACAGGGTCCCCAGGGCCGCCAGGCTCAGTGGCCAAGTCCCTGCAGGCCCCACCCCCAGCGAAGCCTCCCCATGGGTCAGGGTGCTCTGCTTGCTAACATGGGGAGCGGCGGGTGTCCCCATTAGTGGGGCAGGGACTCCCTCTTCACTAGAAAGTCTGCCCGGAGCTGGGCTTCCCTGGGCTAGGACAGCAAGCCTTTTTCTGACTGAAATGTGATTCTCCGTATAAAATCTCTTCTGGGGCGCCTTGGGGGCTCAGTCGGCTCAGCGTCCGACTTCAACTCAGGTCATGATCTCAGCATTCCTGGTTCCTGAGTTTGAGCCCCGTGTCGGGCTCTGTGCTGACAGCTCGGAGCCCGGAGCCTGCTTCAGATTCTGTGTCTCCCCCTCTCCCTGCCCCTCCCCTGCTCGTGCTCTGTGTCTCTCGCTCTCTCAAAAATAAATGTTAAAAAATAATAAAATTTAAAAAATAAAAATTAAATCTCTCTGTGTAGATCGATCTATCCTTTGTAAATTCAGCTACTGATGCTGGCAGAGAACCTGTCCCCCTCCCTCCAGCTTTAAGATAATAAAAAAAATTTATTTTTGTTTAATGCTTATTTTTGAGAGAGAAAGACAGAGACAGCAAGGGAGGGGCAGAGAGACAGGGAGACACAGAATCCGAAGCAGGCTCCAGGCTCTGAGCCGTCAGCACAGAGCCCAACGCGGGGCTCGAACCCCTGAACCGTGAGATCATGACCTGAGCTGAAGTCGGATGCCCAACCGACTGAGCCACCCAGGCGCCCCTAAAACAATTTTAATCTTGTGGAAGGACCCACGTTTATTATCCAAACCACAGGAACCTTTGGCTGTGCCAGATGGCTGCATCCTTTCAGAGGAGTTTGGGCAAAGCCCACGGAGCTGGTTCCTGTAATAGGTTGAATTGTGTCCCCTGAAAAGAGTTAATTCTTGACCCTAGATGCCTGTGACTGTGACCTTATTTGGAAACAGGGTCTCTGAGGACATAATTAGGGGTGTTGAGATGAGGTCATACTGGGTTAGGGTGGCCCTAAATCTCATGGCTGGCGTCCTTCGAGGGGATGGGGACACATGTGAGGAGAATGCTGTCCAGGAGCCGCCAAGTCACTCGGTCACCTTCTTCTCAATTCTGTGGCCCCTGCCCCCTAAACAAACAGGGAACCATCGCCTTTCCCTGAGGGCCACTCTTCTTGTCTGTTCAGGGCCTGCAGCCCACGTCTGGGGCTCAGAATGGAGGATGTTTCTGGCCCCCACTCTTTTTTTTTTTTTTTTTCCAACGTTTATTTATTTTTGGGACAGAGAGAGACAGAGCATGAACGGGGGAGGGGCAGAGAGAGAGGGAGACACAGAATCGGAAACAGGCTCCAGGCTCCGAGCCATCAGCCCAGAGCCCGACGCGGGGCTCAAACTCACGGACCGCGAGATCGTGACCTGGCTGAAGTCGGACGCTCAACCGACTGCGCCACCCAGGCGCCCCTGGCCCCCACTCTTTTAACCTGGGGGCCTTCTGACACCAGGTAGTTTTTACTGCATGGGGTCAAGAGCACGATCCCTAGTCAAGAATATCGAGGTCCAGAAAACTGGCTCCCAGCAGCCGAACCCCACCCGACCAACCTGCACCCCAGAGCCTGTTAACAAGCAGCTTAACGACCGGGTCTGTCACTCAGATAGACGTGTTGTCTTTCCACGGGGAAAACCAGAGCTGAAGATGCGATCTGAAGGCAGGCGGGTTGTTAGACACAATCAAAGCCGGGAACTACAGGGCCCCTCGCTTGGCACGGTTTTCATTTGCACAGCCCTGGGATGAGTGAGAGCGTTTTGTTCAGCTCTGCCTGCTCACACAAGCTGTGCTTTCAGATGGCTGGAGGCTCCGATCCGGACCAGGGCCACAGGCAGGACCGTGGGCAGTGGCAGAGCCGCTTCTCCTCAAAAGGCCCCCTTGTTCTCGGCCCCTCCCTGCCGCTTCCCGCACTTACTCTCCCTGCAAAGTTTGCCGCCCGCCCCCTGCTGGCTGCCCTGTAGCAGGAGAACATCCTTCCTGCCGGCGAGCCCACGACTATCCATCTACGCAGGGGAGACACAAGACTGGCCGACGAAGGGTGTTTGGGTCCAACCGAATCCATGCCACAAACTCT